AACACATTTGTCCAGAACGATAACAACCAACAGTGTCCTCAAGTCAAACACACTGACTGCTTCAGAGCAACTACATCCATACAGACGACTAAATCCGTCTGGATGGAGACAGGAATACAAATATAGTTAGAAAAACTGAAGGAAATTCGCAAACAAAGAAAATTCAAGCATACATGAATTACCAAGCACAGTGACCAAAAAGGGAATAAACCGATTAAGCAATGTCAATCGGAAGAGTTAGTACTCTCTGCCCACACACACACACACACACACATCTAAATGAAGTAGAATGTCTGTCTGGTTTTTAATGACAAGTCCATACACAGACACACATTGCCCGAGGACAGATTTATCGGATGACAGGGAAATGTGAAAGCATTGAAGGGATTCGCAAATCTTGCTCAAAAAGGATAGAACACTGACGAACAACAGCCGAAAGCCAGTGCTTTCACTGAGTGTAAAGCGGAACCGAGGCGGAGAAGAATGAAAACAGCTCAAAATGCTTGGAGGGTTAGACAGAGAGGAGAACCGCAGTGGAGAGCGCGCGTCCAATGATGAGGACAAGAACAATCCTTTGCACGTGGATCAATGGCAACCCCAACAACAAGATTTATGATACCTCAAGTTGGTGCAGAAGCGAATTGTATTCGGATAGGTTAGGGAGATAGCGAAAGTGGAGTAACAATTGGTTTTTAACAAAGTGGGTGATGTCAAGGTCTGAGACAAACAAATAGATTTACAAAGGGGAAACGACTGTGAATCCCATGATGAGGAAATGCGTAGTGGTTCTTTCACGGAGCACCGTGTCAACTTTTAGAAGACAAGAAAAGGAGGCAAGAGAGAAGTTGAACTGTAGGTTTACGTTCTACAACTTGTCTTGGAGGTAAAGAGATACGATTATCCCGGAAACACAATGAACAGGAGGAAAAGACTGTAGATGAACAAAAACAAAAGCCGGATAAGAAACGGGTGTTAAATTGGAAGTAGAACGAAACTGGAAATTAATTTGCGGCAGTCAGATTTTCTTTTGAAAACATTGGTATGAAACAGGTTACGTGTCAACAGGAATAAAAACAAACACGGCATGGAGAACGGTTGTTTCCAGTCTGTCAGTGTAACTTTCTGAAATGTATTAACGCTTTTTTAGTTTATAAAACCAGTAACTTGCACTTACGCACAACAGCTTTGGTTGCTGTTTTTGGTTATCCATTTATGTGGAGTAGCAGAGGAAGGAACAGAATGCTGAAGGCATCATTACTGTACAGATAGAGAATTCAAGTAGACTGAACTTTGAATAAGGTGAGTAGGTGCAGGTGCACCATTGTTNACGGCACTCAGACACATCACCCAGCGCTTATCTGACTATCAACTATACCCCTTCCCGAGAAACCCAATCAGTGAGCACAACGCGACCTAAATTTCCAAGTCTCTTGGTCAGGGTTTTCATACCCTCATGCTGGGTCTCATTTTGACCATCTACAATTTTATCCCGCCCAGAACCTACCCGGCAAACATCACGGGTCGAGGAAATCTATCAGTTAGCATAGAATCGACTGATTTTACAACTATCGTGAGAAATTTAAGATTAGGAGCGTAAAATAGGCTAAGTCATAACTGTTCTATTTTTTATCATACACTTTTGTGTGGCGGGCAACAGAAGACGGGCTGTTCCGTTATATAAACCGGCTACCTAAGTCCCGGGACTTGAAGTGGTGAACCACATAAGACCCGGTTGTGTTAAGCATGGCATTGAATGTGACAACAATAAAGCTGTCTGTCATCCTAGTTTGGTGGCTGTGGCGAGGTTCGAACCTTGAACCGTATGGTTCAAAGCACACCGGTGACAGCGACTAAATCACTAACAAACCTAGTGAATGCTAGATGTGAAACATAGTAGTAGTAGTATTTATTGCCATCGATCAAACTCGCCGTATGCTTGATAACAGTCCATTCGATGTTTGCCTAAACTCATTTATTACCAACGACGTGCTGAATGACTTTTCCAGTACTTCGTCTATTGGACCGATTTTATGTTCTAGCCCACCACTGTGCTACCTACTTGATTGAGTTATGAAACCGTTTTGTTCGCGCTTTGGTCCCCAGGGTTTGATTTAGTTCTAACCAATGAACATCTATTCATGTGTGTTCAGTTCTTTTTTTATGACCTGCCGCAAAGTCACGACGAGCATGTGGATGGAAACCATTTGGGGACGCGAATGCAGAGAAAGCATTACCAATCACGTGAGCGGTTGGCAGTCAAATAGCCAAATAAAAGTACATTCGTAAAGAAAAGAACGCCTGCGGATAGGACTTACAGTAAGAAGAAACATGGGTTGTGAAACGCAGCAGCCTATCCGTCACATTTAGGAAGCCTAGAGATTCCGGTATGTCCCGATAAGGGACACATACGTTGATGGAGTACTCACAAAGTGGAATACAGTTGTTCCCGTTGTTGGTTTCGTTGTTGTTGTTGTCGTCGTCGTTGTTATTCTTGGATCTGTGGTGCACATGTGTTTGCGCGTGTTTGCATTCAAAGCTGGATTACGACCAAGGGGGGTCGCATTTCACCCAGTGAACTGTTCACTTCTTGTCCGGAAACAGTTCCTTACACAGGAACCAGAAAAACGGTTTCGCTTACAAAACAAACTTAAGTCGAGTGTCAAACGTGGACTTTACGCACACACATTAGATAAAATAATCGTACAAATAGCGTACGTAGATCCAATCGAGATGGCATCCACTCCCTGGCAAAGAGACAAAAATGTACCACCTATAAATCTAATGCATCATGACCAGAGAGACAGTGTGAAAAAAAACTACATTTTTTCACTAACTTGAATATCCATTTTCATGGATCTGGACTGTCAATTGGTCACTGACCAGGGGATAGTCTTTTTCCACACCGTTGGTCAGACTGGTCGAGAGTGGTTCGTCATCGTGATTGGCGGTATCAGAGCGTGGTATGCTACTTCTCAATCCGGTAGGCATTGTTTTTTGCGTCCAAGAGACGCTCGAGGAAACCGGATCCCGCTGACCTCGTTCAGGATAGGTTTTGGATTTTGATGGGGACGAAAGACTGGGTGGTACGGAGTCAAATTCACCGGTAGGGCGCGAAGTGGGAAGACCGTTTGAGATTTGAGTTGCACAGGACACGCAGTAGTAGACTCCATCAATTATGGTTGTTCTTTCTCCGGAAGAGAACAGGCGGCTGTAGAAAAAATAACACGAAAAGCGAAGGTCCAAGCTATAAACACATTGTCTCAAATGCGAAAGAACAGTAGAGAAATGAAATCCGGAATTGTAGTTGACAGTTTAGCATTCGATAGGTGACAGGATGCAATCAAACATTCACCATGTGACCATTCCTGCAGATTACGGGCAATACGAGCAGCTTGGAAATCGGTCAAATTGGTTGAATATAGTACAACAACAAGAAACATAGATGCACTAACCATGGACGAAATTTCAAGCCATCAACAATCATACAGAACGGGAAATGAGTGTGAGTGATGGAGGTGAGATGTCAATCACGTCCGGACAATAAACATTCAAGAAAATAACCATGAATTCCATTGGTCTGTATGTACGCGTCCAAGCAGGCATGCACCTTCCTTCCGGTCCGTAGTACAACAAGAGGTGAAATACCATAGAAATCGCGATAAACAAATTTCAGTGCTTGAAGCATTAACCAAACTCCACGGATTTGGGAAAGCCGGTTTATGTTTTCACATTGCTTGGCCTTGGTAGTGTTTTATTTGTGATTATAAATCACTGTTCTATAGGGAGGAATGAATAAGACTAAAATAGAAGGGAACAGTGCACACGCATGAATAGGGTGAAACTATTGCCTAGACGGCACTCTTTGGTTAAATAGCAAACCAAGATAACATTATGTATACGAATCTGGTTAGCTGTTGAAACGTGAACAGATTGGTGTCAGGACAAAAGAATTGATTGAACACAACAAACATTCTCCACGAATTTCGGTGCTCGAATGTTCGAGAGTATGTATAGGACAGTGAAACTTACCCGCACGTGTGACACCGGAAACAGTGAGTGTGAAACGTTTTTCCGAGAACGGTTACAGCTTCGCCCTCAACGTAGGCGTGACATGCCTCACATGTGACACCGAATGAGCTCTGATAATCTTCTGGACAATAGAAGCGCTGGTCTCGAACGAAAAATCCTCCTTTCTGCAAATTCTTTTTACATTCTTCAAAGACGAAATTACCATAGAGGAGAAATAACAGACTCACTTGTACATTGAAAACACTTGTGATGAACAAAATTTTCCTCGATTTTCAGTGTATCACCTTTGCAGCGCTTGTTACACACAGAACAGAACACCTTCCCTGTGAAATAAACAAACAAACAAGATTAAACATGCACTATTGACGTGAGCACTTGAAGGACATTTTTTGACTTTATAAGTACAATTCAAATGGAAAACAGCATACGGCTGAGAAAAGCAAACAGTACGAAAGTGAATTTTACGCTAGGGTGATCAGAAGCAAATCAATGCTGATGATCACCATGGGGAATCTGCTCGTGTTCTCATTAAATAAACATGAAAAATCCAAGACTAGAACTGATAAGGCAGTTGCAGGTAATGCGTTATCAAAAACGATTAAGAGTAAAACAAGTCTACAAGCAATTATTAAATCAATCTGGAGAAAATGTTATATGGATAACAGAAGAGAAACTACGTAAGCTTTACTTGAATTTGCCGCTAAATGCTTCATTGCGGTAGGGATCGATAATTCGGCAAACGAATTTGATCGCCTACCCAACCCCGCTCCTATAGAAATGCTCCCTAATGACCTGGCAAGTCTTGCTTATTTCCTACTCATGGCGAGGTAGTTACATTAAAGCGGGTGGACAGAAAGCGAATTTCAGGAGCGACAACCGGGTTGACAAGTCACTGGTAGCTAGATTGTCTAGGGGGGGGGGGGGGGAAAACCCGG